CCAGTGGGTCAGAAGTTTACATACACTCAATTAGTATTTGGTAGCATTGCCTTTAAATTGTTTAACTTGGGTCAAATGTTTCGGGTAGCCTTCCACAAGCTTCCCACAATAAGTTGGGTGAATTTTGGCCCACTCCTCCTGACAGAGCTGGTGTAACTGAGTCAGGTTTGTAGGCCTCCTTGCTCGCACACGCTTTTTCAGTTCTGCCCACAAATGCTCTATAGGATTGAGGTCAGGGCTTTGTGATGGCCACTCCAATACCTTGACTTTGTTGTCCTTAAGCCATTTTGCCACAACTTTGGAAGTATGCTTGGGGTCATTGTCCATTTGGAAGACCCATTTGCGACCAAGCTTTAATTTCCTGACTGATACTAATTGAGTGTATGTAAACTTCTGACCCACTGGGAATGTGATGAAAGAAATAAAAGCTGAAATAAATCATTCTCTCTACTATTATTCTGACATTTCACATTCTTAAAATAAAGTGGTGATCCTAACTGACCTAAGACAGGGAATATTTACTAGGATTAAAAATCAGGAATTGTGAAAAACTGAGTTTAAATGTATTTGGCTAAGGTGTATGTAAACTTCCGACTTCAACTGTATATGTATTTATATGTATGTATGTATGTATGTATATGTATGTATTCATATGTGTATGTATATGTGTGTATGTATGTATGTGTATGTATGTACAGTGGGGAGAACAAGTATTTGATACACTGCCGATTTTGCAGGTTTTCCTACTTACAAAGCATGTAGAGGTCTGTAATTTTTATCATAGGTACACTTAAACTGTGAGAGACGGAATCTAAAACAAAAATCCAGAAAATCACATTGGCTGATTTTTAAGTAATTAATTTGCATTTTATTACATGACATAAGTATTTGATCACCTACCAACCAGTAAGAATTCCGGCTCTCACAGACCTGTTAGTTTTTCTTTAAGAAGCCCTCCTGTTCTCCACTCATTACCTGTATTAACTGCACCTGTTTGAACTCGTTACCTGTATAAAAGACACCTGTCCACACACTCAATCAAACAGACTCCAACCTCTCCACAATGGCCAAGACCAGAGAGCTGTGTAAGGACATCAGGGATACAATTGTAGACCTGCACAAGGCTGGGATGGGCTACAGGACAATAGGCAAGCAGCTTGGTGAGAAGGCAACAACTGTTGGCGCAATTATTAGAAAATGGAAGAAGTTCAAGATGACGGTCAATCATCCTCGGTCTGGGGCTCCATGCAAGATCTCACCTCGTGGGGCATCAATGATCATGAGGAAGGTGAGGGATCAGCCCAGAACTACATGGCAGGACCTGGTCAATGACCTGAAGAGAGCTGGGACCACAGTCTCAAAGAAAACCATTAGTAACACACTACGCCGTCATGGATTAAAATCCTGCAGCGCACGCAAGGTCCCCCTGCTCAAGCCAGCGCATGTCCAGGCCCGTCTGAAGTTTGCCAATGACCATCTGGATGATCCAGAGGAGGAATGGGAGAAGGTCATGTGGTCTGATGAGACAAAAATAGAGCTTTTTGGTCTAAACTCCACTCGCCGTGTTTGGAGGAAGAAGAAGGATGAGTACAACCCCAAGAACACCATCCAACCTTGAAGCATAGAGGTGGAAACATCATTCTTTGGGGATGCTTTTCTGCAAAGGGGACAGGACGACTGCACCGTATTGAGGGGAGGATGGATGGGGCCATGTATCGCGAGATCTTGGCCAACAACCTCCTTCCCTCAGTAAGAGCATTGAAGATAGGTCGTGGCTGGGTCTTGCAGCAAGACAACGACCCGAAACACACAGCCAGGGCAACTAAGGAGTGGCTCCCTAAGAAGCATCTCAAGGTCCTGGATTGGCGTAGCCAGTCATCAGACCTGAACCCAATAGAAAATCTTTGGAGGGAGCTGAAAGTCAGTATTGCCCAGCGACAGCCCCGAAACCTGAAGAATCTGGAGAAGGTCTGTATGGAGGAGTGGGCCAAAATCCCTGCTGCAGTGTGTGCAAACCTGGTCAAGACCTACAGGAAACATATGATCTTTGTAATTGCAAACAAAGGTTTCTGTACCAAATATTAAGTTCTGCTTTTCTGATGTATCAAATACTTATGTCATGCAATAAAATGCAAATTAATTACTTAAAAATCATACAATGTGATTTTCTGGATTTTTGTTTTAGATTCCGTCTCTCACAGTTGAAGTGTACCTATGATAACAACATTACAGACCTCTACGTGGTTTGTAAGAGGCAAACCCTGCAAAATCGGCAGTGTATCAAATACTTGTTCTCCCCACTGTATGTATGCATATGTAATTTTGGGTCCATGGCTAGGAAACTCCCCAGACCTTAATCCCATTGAGAACTTGTGGTCGATCCTCAAGAGGCGGGTGGACAAACAAAAACCCACAAATTCTGACAAACTCCAAGCATTGATTATACAGGAATGGACTGCCATCAGTCAGGATGTGGCCCAGAAGTTAATTGACAGCATGCCAGGGCGGATTGCAGAGGTCTTGAAATAGGAGGGTCAACAATGCAAATATTGACTCTTTGCATAAACGTAATGTAATTGTCAATAAAAGCCTTTGATACTTATGGAATGCTTGTAATTATACTTCAGTATACCATAGTAGCATCTGACAAAAATATCTCATAACACTGAAGCAGCGAACTTTGTGAAGACCAATACTTGTGTCATTCTCAAAACTTTTGACCACGACTGTACTGTACATATTCCTATTTTTAAACATATTTTCCTTTATTACTCTTCTAATTCTACCACACCTCCCCTAATTGGAGTAAACTAGTGAACAACAACGCTTAGGCCTCTACTTCCAGTTTATACATACTATATACATTTAATGGACAGTCTATTTTACAATAGTTCTATTTAGTTTGTTTTTACTCCTGTCCTTCCTCTACCCTCAACCTCTCCCATCTATTTCTGATGTCCATCCGGTTTGATTTCTATATGCCATATCTTTCAAACTGTGCTCTTTCACAAAAGTTCTTAACCTACAACCTATATACATTTTACGGACACAGAATGTTTTACATTAGTTATGTTGTTGTTATTAGTTGTTATTAGTCCCAACCTTCCGCTCCATTCAACCCCTCCCATCTATCTCTTAACACCATCCATATTGGATTTCTACTTGCCTTATATTTTTCAACTGTGCTGTGATGTTTCACAAAAGTTCTGAACCTTTCTATTCTCATTGTTTCTACAGATTGTAAATTGAAAAATGTTTTTTGGGCTAAAAGTATTATTATATTATTGATCGATTGACTATGACTTTTCAGATCACCCAGTAGTGCTATCTACAGGGTTAGCTCAAGGTAAATATTACAATTCTTCAGCCATTCCTGGACCTGTGACCAAAAACAAGCTACATATGGACAGTACCAAAACAAATTATCTAATGATTCTGTCTCTTCGCATGAAAATCTGCAGAGCTGGGAAGGTTGTATCCCCCATATAAATAACATTCTATTGGTTGCAAGAATTTTATATAATAATTTAAATTGACAAATTCAAAGTTTTGAATCGGCATTGTTTTACATATCAGTTCATAAACCATGTGCCATGGAATTTGTACGTCACAAATCTCTTCCCAACTGTTTAGTAATCTATATGGCACGGCTGTCAATTTTTTGGTCCTGAAATGAAACTGGTATACTTTTTTATTTATCACAATTTTCTTTAACCAATTATGGTCTTTAATGCAGGGCCGACAGACAAGTTCCTTACTTTTTCCCTCTTCCACTTCCTTTTCCATTTTTGCGGTAATGCTACAATTAGTTGATTGTAATTTTGGGTAGAGCAGATATTTCCATATGTTTTTGTTAGCTGCATGTGTGACATAACTCCACCAGTCCTACCTATGATATCATTTAGGAAGATTATACATTTTTTAAATTATTCAATAAATAATGGATTTTTATCAATTCGTTTATTTGAGTTTAACCACAGTATTTGTTGTATTATTTGTTCTGTCGTTTCTGGTTGATGAAATTGAAATTGCAACCAACTTTCTATGGCTTGTTTAAGAAATAGTGATATTTGGGAGATTATTTCCTTTTCAAATAACTGAAAGTGAGAGGTTGTAATCTGAATAAAGGGGAAAAGGCTATTCTTGAACATAGGGTGAGACATTCTTACTCATTTGCTAGAGAACCAGTTCAGATTTAAGTATAACTTTTGTATGACTGAAGCCTTTAGTGAGAGGTCTAATGCTTTAATATTTAATAATTTCTGCCCTCCAAATTCATATTCATTATATAAATAGGCCCATTTAATTTTGTCTGGCTTGCCGTTCCAAATAAAATGGAAGAAAATGTTCGCATATAATTTAAAAAACTGTTCGCTAGAAGTAGGCAAGACCATAAGCAAATAGGTAAATAGGCATATTACTAATTAGTTAATCAGGGCGATTTTTTCCACAAATAGACAGGTATTTACCTTTCCATGGTAGCAATATCTTATATTTTTGCTAACTTTCTATTAAAATGTATTGGAGTGAGATGATTTATTTATTTCGGGATATGTATACCAAGTATATCCACATCACCATCAGACAATTCTATTGGTAAACTACACGGTAATGAAAAAGTTGTATTTTTTAGTGATCCAATACGTAATATCATAATTTGGTTGTAATCCAGAGAGGTTCGAATATTTATCTAGTGGGCCTCCCGAGTGGCGCAGTGGTCTAAGGCTCTGCATCGCGGTGCTAGCTGTGCCACTAGAGATCCTGGTTCGAGTCCAGGCTCTGTAGCAGCCGGCCGCTGTGAGGGCTATTCTTGTCCCATCGCAAAATAACTTAATGCAGATATACCTAATTCTCTAGAGATCAACACGACCTCTAGAGTTAGCCAGTAAAGTGTTAACTGTGTTTACCAAACATGTCTATTCCCTGTGTGAATTATAGATGCTGAGGGTAGGAGGCTAAAGGGGATCCAGAGGAGCACTGAGACAGGACTGGCTGTAGAGATGCCCAGCCGCACTGTACGCCAGGCCAGCCACGAGTCCATTGAAGACAGCATGAACAGCTACGGCTCAGAGGGCAAGTGAGTACAGCAACATAACTAGCACCATTAGCACTTGGGGCACCCACTGATTCACAATTGTTCTGTGTGGATCAGTTGGTATGTGTGTGGCGCTAACAACGCCAAGGTTGTGGTTCCACTCCAGCGCGGATCACGTAAACATGCTAAAAGTGTATGCATTTACTGTACTGTACGTCCCTCTGGATAAAACCATCTGCTGAGTGAGGTGAAGTGTAGTATTGTCACGATCGTCGAACGGAGTAGACCAAGGCGCAGCGTGATAAGCGTACATTCTTATTTATTAAGTACACTACGAACAAAAACAATAAACGATACGTGAAGTCCAAGGTTAACAAACACAAACCTTACACGGAACAAGATACCACAAAACACTGTGGAAAACAGGCTGCCTAAGTATGGTTCCCAATCAGAGACAACAAGCAACAGCTGACACTCGTTGCCTCTGATTGAGAACCACCCCGGCCAACACAGAAACACATGAGCTAGATAAAGAACCTAGAACACAAACACATAGAAACTACACACCCCAGCTCAACATAACAGAGTCCCCGAGCCAGGGCATGACAAGTATAGTATAGAGAAGTATATTGTTACTAGTGGCACCTGCCCTTATGGGCGGTAAATCATTGGTAATTAATCATTTGATTCAATGTAATTCCCTCCTCAAAAATATGTATCTCTGTTCAGCTTTTTGGTGTCTGGATATGCAGTTGATGCTCTCAACTCCGGAGCATTGAAAAAACTCCCATATTTCCTGTGGGATCATGGCATTTCCTTTTCTTGGAAATGCAATGTCCAATTTCCCCCTCCCCAGTGTGGGCTGACTAATCTACCAGCTCACGTTTGATGCCTATATTTTAAGCCTAGTGCTTATTTGAACCTTGCTTTAGTACGGATTAGAGGGTAAAACAGAGCAGCTATATGCAATGAGATGCAGTTGTTTATTTGGGAGTGGACACATTATACCTCCAACACCTGTTTTGGAAAGCAATAGTTTAGTCATTGTATTATGATGCATCCATTATGATGCATTTACATGACATCACATAATGGAATGGAAGCAGATATAATTTTGGGAAATGTAGTCATTCTACAGTGTCACGCTCGTCGGGAAGAGAGGAGGACCAAGGCGCAGCGTTGAATGCGAACATATTTATTTATATAATGATCACACGAACAAAACAACAAAACGAAAACGTGACGTCCCTGGTTACATACACAAACCAACACGGAACAAGAAACCACACCCAATGAATGCCTAACGGCTACCTAAGTATGACTCCCAATCAGAGACAACGAGCTACAGCCGTCTCTGATTGGGAGCCACCCTGGCCAACATAGATATACAAAACTAGAATACCCAAAGGAAACTCACACCCTGGCTCAACATACAAGTGTCCCCAGAGCCAGGGCGTGACATACAGTTTCCAAATTGGCCTACAAAGGCCTAGCCTGGGTACCAATTTGTTTCTGCTATCATTCCACTCTATGCCAAACAGACTAGCCTTTCGGCAATCTTCCAATATAAAGATTATATAATTAATGAGCGAGGAGAATAGCATTGTCGTCCAACAGGTGGCATCACTCCTAAGTGACGCTCATCCTTCAACCAACCTATCTTGTAGGTCATGGAACTCATATTACAATTTTAATATTCCCGAGCATCCACCATTCAAAAATGAAAAACATAATTCCTAATGTATGATATCACTGCGCTATCGTATGACTCCCCATGAAATAGGCAGAATAACTAGATAAATTATTACATATAATAACTTGCAATTGCAAGAAAATGAAAACAAAGCAGTGCATGGCTATCTTCTGCAAAGATTATGTGCAAGGACGTTGGTTGCCAGTGCAGTGACTTGATCAGATGCTTAGCTAACTGTTGTAGCTATCTTACTGACATAGTTAGCTAGCTAGCTCTATCTTTACTGACATAAAAAGCTTGCTTAGCCTGTTTAAATTACCCTGAAGTTGTGGACATGCAGCCCCAAAATTAAGAGGGACTGTTATCCGAAATCATTCCGTAGATTGCTAACGTTACTTTGTATCATTGGGTCAGCCGAGCACAGCAGCTGACTCGGGAGGCTACTGCAATGAATCACGGCTGATCAGCTGCTTCATGAAAAGTAATAATAATGTTAGCATTAACACTACTACAGTAGCTTGCTAACTTGCTTTTGTTGGAAGCAGGACTAAGTAGGTAGCTGGTTGGTTAGCAGCATCGTTTCAGTGACTGGCTCAGCTAGCAAACTAATGTTGGACAGATTTATGCTAGCTTTCGTGCCCATTGTCAAACTTCAGAAATACTGCTCTATAAACCACATAAGTCCTTACCTAGATGTAAAATGGTGTGACTGAGACTTCCTCACCAAAAAAACTTCAACATTAATGACAGATTTATTGTTTTAGCTTAGATTAATTCCGACTGTTTTGAGGCAGAAATCGGGTTCAGCAGACGATGTTACCTTGGTAATATATTGAATGTTAGACAGCACATTGTAGCCAAACTACTTTTCATCTATCCGATTACTATTTGCGAGGTACGAGATATCAGTGCTGGCGGAATAATCACGCAATCTGACGTAAGACAATTGGAGAATAGAGGATTTGATCCAGATTCGATAACCCTCACAGTTATCCTTGAATCACAATTGTCTCTATTTTCGAGACACATATTCACTGCGTAAAATGGCCTGTTTCCAAGTGTGTAAATGTACTGTAAGTCAGAATATCTTTCATGATAAGAAGTAGAAGCTCAGTATTGAGAAGTCAGAATAAAAATAGAGCTTGACCAGTCTTGATTAGTATGCTCTGGAACAACTTGTCTATTGTACTCACCCCCCCCCCCCCCCCCCCTTTAATTCAAGCATTTAAAATAGAAGCACACTTAAAACAATCAAATGAAAAAACAAGCACAGCAATTAAAGAGATCAAATGTTATCAAAGAACATAAATCACAAAGGCATCATTGATTAAAGGCCAAGCTAAAAAACGCCGGTTGACAAATGGGATTTTAACACCACAAGCAGTTTCACAGTACAATGCACAGTTCCATATCAAACTTTTACTATATAAAAGAAACACAATGATGAATAATCAAACTTTTTTGTCGGTACAATTTAAGAAATAAATGGTATAGTTTTGCTCTCAAATTCCCAATGCTAGGCCTTTTGAGTTCTCATAGCTTCACCTCCAAGTAGCCTAATGCCTAAAAAGCAGCCCTGCTTGAATAATAATAATAATATGCCATTTAGCAGACGCTTTTATCCAAAGCGACTTACAGTCATGCGTGCATACATTTTTTTGTGTATGGGTGGTCCCGGGGATCGAACCCACTACCTTGGCGTTACAAGCGCCGTGCTCTACCAGCTGAGCTACAGAGGAAACTGGTACTACCACAGTTACTGGTCTGTAGTCCTGACAAACTACACTTTAAACTGGCAATATGCACTTCATAATTCTCGGAACTGGAATAAACTGTGCCTCTGATACAGATCCCTATGCTTTGCCCCAAACCTCAACAGGCAGCTTGAAATTATATTAATTTGGATGTTTCTGGAACCAATTGACACGAGCCATGACATGAGAAATGTGTGTGTTTTCATGTCACAAGAGAACAACTGTGTTACTATGCTTGGCGTTAGCTCTGCATCTGTTTGAATGTGTGGTAGGCCCTGTCTGTCTGTCAGTGACAAACCCCTTTGCAAGTACACATGATGAGTGAAAACTTCTGCTTTGTTCAGTGCTTGTAACCTCTCCCAGCATGTCTAGCTTATCATATGTTGTTCATTCAGCTGTACAATGGTGAGATCCTTGTTTGGATACATTCATGTGAAGACACTATACAGATCATTACTATCTTCACTTGCTATGACAAACAGCTGTTTAGGGGGCAGGCAAATAATGTCTGAGCTCACTGTAAATTAGTTGGAGAATAGGCTACTGGGGGACAAGAATATGAATGCTTTTACAGAGGAGACACAAATAATTCAGTAATAATAAACACACACGTACCATGTTCATCCTGACAAAATAACTCCTGAGTCTGTTATTGCTGTAATGGCAATTCCTCAGGAAAGGTGGCTGTGTCTTGCCGTTCAACTGTCCATTGATGAGTGAATTTATCATAGAATTTAGTTTTATGAAATGATGTTCAAAGTATGCTGTCTTTCCCTAAAGTATGTGGCTGTGGCCACACTCTTTCATGGGCCAAGTCCTGGGTTTGAGATAATCTGCCTTGCGCTTTGACATGATAGTGACACTAAAACTATTTTTATAGCCAATCGTCAATAAATAATATGTTAGGCAGGATGTGTTGATGTGATTCTGGATGGCCAGATTGCTAGCAAGAATGACAAGAAACTGCCATGTGGAGAATCGTAAGTGGCTCGTTTCAGTTCGTTTCATCTTGTTATTTATACCATGTGTTGTTTTGAGTTGTTTTTACTAATTTCATGTTAATGTTAATGTGGCTAAAATGTTCTAGCTAACTAACCAACAACTGTAACAATGTATTTATGTTCAATAATCATTGGAGACAAAATATAGCTTACATGTTGTCAACAATCTAAGCCAACACCGTCTGTTTTGCTCCATAGTTGCTCAGACCTCGGTTTTGTTGCAAAACAACCAACACGTCTATAGACCACAATGCAATAGCAGCTGGGTCTGGTCTACTTGTATATGAACTGGAGCGACCATATACCATATACATTCATTGGTAGCGACGCACTTGTATCAATTCAATAGCAAGGGGCTTTATTTGCATGGGAAACAAATGTTTACATTGCCAAAGCAAGTGAAATATACAATAAACTAAATATCACAGTTTCTGTTTTGATGGTACATGAAGTGTAGTTTCATGAAACACCGGCATGAACTCATCAGCCAATTAAATGCATGGGAATAGAAGGGAAGGCGTAGCGATTGAAAGGTAAATAATCCAATCAAAAGAAAAAAAAACAGAAGTGAGGTGAGACGGTTGAAAATGACCAATTGCGATTTGAAAACTTTGCCATACCACTTCTTTGGGGGTGTTTTCTACCGGCGGTCAGCTAAATACAGTGCATTCAGAAAGTATTCAGACCTCTTGACTTTTTCCACATTTTGTTACGTTACAGCCTTATTCCAAAATTGATTAAATACAATGTTTTCCTCATCAATCTACACACAATACCCCATAATGACAGAGCAAAAACAAGTTTTTAGAAATTGTTGCAAATGTATTTAAAATAAAAAACTGAAATACCTTATTTACATGAGAATTCAGACCCTTTGTTATGAGACTCGAAATTGAGCTCAGGTGCATCCTGTTTCCATTTATCATCCTTGAGATGTTTCTACAACTTGATTGGAGTCCAACTGTGGTCAATCCAATTGATTGGACATGATTTGGAAAGGCACACACCTGTCTATATAAGGTCCCACAGTTGACAGTGCATGTCAGAGCAAAAACCAAGCCATGAGGTCGAAGGAATTGTCCGTAGAGCTCCGAGAAAGAATTGTGTCGAAGCAAAGCTCTTCGGAAGGGTACCAAAAAATGTATTCAGCATTGAAGGTGCCCAAGAACACAGTGGCCTCCATCATTCTTAAATGGAAGAAGTTTGGAACCACCAAGACTCTTGCTAGAGCTGGCCGCCCGGCCAAACTGAGCAATCGGGGGAGAAGGGCCTTGGTCAGGAAGGTGACCAAGAACCCGATGGTCACTCTGACAGAGCTCCAGAGTTCCTCTGTGGAGATGGGAGAACCTACCAGGAGGACAACCATCTCTGCAGGACTCCACCAATCAGGCATTTATGGTGGCCAGACGGAAGCCACTCCTCAGTAAAAGGCACATGACAGCCCGCTTGGAGTTTGCCAAAAGGCCCGTAAAGGACTCTCAGACCATGAGAAACAAGATTCTCTGGTCTGAGAAAACCAAGATTGAACTCTTTGGCCTGAATGCCAAGCCTCATGTCTGGAGGAAACCTGGCACCATCCATATGGTAAAGCATGGTGGAGGCAACATTGCTGTGGGATGTTTTTCAGCAGCAGGAACTGTCAGGATCGAGGGAAAGATGAACGGAGCAAACTACAGAGAGATCCTTGATGAAAACCTGCTACAGAGTGCTCAGGACCTCAAACTGTGGCAAAGGTTCATCTTCCAACAGGACAATGACCCTAAGCACAGAGCCAAGACAACACAGGAGTGGCTTCAGGACAAGTCTTTGAATGTCCTTGAGTGGCCCAGCCAGAGCTCGGACTTGAACCCGATCTAACATTTCTGGAGAGACCTGAAAATAGCTGTGCAGCGACGCTCCCCATCCAACCTGACAGAGCTTGAGAGGATCTGCAGAGAAGAATGGGAGAAACTCCCCGAATACAGCTGAAGTCAGAAGTTTACATACACCTTAGCCAAATACATTTAAACTCAGTTTTTCACAATTCCTTACGTGTAATCCTAGTAACTTTATTTTAAGAATATGAAATGTCAGAATAATAGTAGAGAGAATGATTTATTTAAGCTTTTATTTATTTCATCACATTCTCAGTGGGTCAGAAGTTTACATACACACAATAGTATTTGGTAGCATTGCCTTTAAATTGTTTAACTTAGGTCAAACATTTCGGGTAGACTTCCACAAGCTTCCCACAATAAGTTGGGTGAATTTTGGCCCATTCCTCCTGACAGAGCTGGTGTAATTGAGTCAGGTTGGTAGGCCTCCTTGCTTGCACAAGCATTTTCAGTTCTGCCCACAAATGTTCTATAAGATTGAGGTCAGGGCTTTGTGATGGCCACTCCAATACCTTGACCTTGTTGTCCTTAAGCCATTTTGCCACAACTTTGGAAGTATGCTTGGGGTCATTGTCCATTTGGAAGACCCATTTGCGACCAAGCTTTAACTTCCTGACTGATGTCTTGAGATGTTGCTTCAATATATCCACATAATTTTCCTTCCTCATGATGCCATCTATTTTGTGAAGTGCACCAGTCCCTCCTGCAGCAAAGTACCCCCACAGCATGATGCTGCCACCCCCATGCTTCACGGTTGAGATGGTGTTCTTCGGCTTGCAAGCGACCCCCTTTTTCCTCCAAACATAACGATGGTCATTATGGCCAAACAGTTCAATTTTTGTTTCATCAGACCAGAGGACATTCCTCCAAAAAGTATGATCTTTGTCCCCATGTGCAGTTGCAAACCGTAGTCTGGCTTTTTTATGGCGGTTTTGGAGCAGTGGCTTCTTCCTTGCTGTGCAGCCTTTCAGGTTATGTCGATATAGGACTTGTTTTACTGTTGTACTGTTTTCTCCAGCATCTTCACAAGGTTCTTTGCTGTTGTTCTGGGATTGATTTTCACTTTTCACACCAAAGTATGTTCATCTCTAGGAGACAGAACGCGTCTCCTTCCTGAGCGGAATGACGGTTGTGTGGTCCCATAGTGTTTATACTTGCGTATTATTGTTTGTACAGATGAACGTGGTACCTTCAGGCATTTGGAACCAGACTTGTGGAGGTCTACAATTCTTTTTCTGAGGTCTTGGCTGATTTCTTTTCATTTTCCTATGATGTCAAGCAAAGAGGCACTGAGTTTGAAGGTAGGCATTGAAATACATCCACAGGTACACCTCCAATTGACTCAAATTATGTCAATTAGCCTATCAGAAGCTTCTAAAGCCATGACATCATTTTCTGGAATTTTCCAAGCTGTTTAAAGGCACAGTCAACTTAGTGTATGTAAACTTCTGACCCACTGGAATTGTGATACAGTGAATTATAAGTGAAAGAACCTGTCTGTAAACAATTGTTGGAAAAATTGCTTTTGTCATGCACAAAGTAGATGTCCTAACCGACTATGGTTTGTTAACAAGAAATGTGTGGAGTGGTTGAAAAGCGAGTTTTAATGTGTATGCAAACTTCCGACCTCAACTGTACAGGTGTGCTAAGCTTGTATTATCATACCCAAGAAGACTTTAGGCCGCCAAAGGTGCTTCGACAAAGTACTGAGTAAAGGGTCTGAATACATATGTAAAAAAAATGTTTTCACTGACTCTTCACACCTGTTTCTCAAGATACATTTTGCACCGACTCCCACTCACTCACCCACCCTTACATATATACACACACAGAACATTACCCTCTTCTTTTTACTACTCTTTACTCCTTATTGTATTTTTTAATAAATGTCTTGGTATCGTGTTTTTTAAAATAAATGTCTTGATATCGTGTTTTTTTAATAAATATCTTGATATCGTGTACTTTTTTGATAAATGTCTTGATATCGTGTTTTTTTTATAAATGTCTTGATATCGTGTTTTTTTTAATAAATGTGTTGATATCATGTATTTTTTGATGAATGTGTATTGCACCATTAAGAGCTTACAGTTATGTTTTTTTGCTTTGTTATTTCGTTACTTCTTTTTTGGAAGGGGGTTTGGGAATGTTACATTTTTTACTTATGTCTTGTTGTGCACTATCTACAATTGTTTATTTCATTAGAGATGTTGTATTTATAATTTTACTTTTGAACACTTGTTCTTATTTTTTGACAAGTAAAAGCATGTTTATATAGTAAACACTTGACCTTTCTTTGATTTGGTGACAAAATTAGCTATATTAGTGTAGGGTGGGGGGGAGGGGGGCCGTAACAATGGTGAGGTGTGAGTGTCAGGAGAACTACAGTACATGGCATGTCTCAGCCTCGACACATTGGCAGTCAGGATCTCTAGTTTCCACCGAGTGTTTTTAACACCCAATGGTTCGCCACCAACAGTTGGTGGAGAAACAAGCGTTTTGAGTGTTCAGACATAAAACAGCAAAGTTCTTCCGACTGGCATGGAAGTAGCTAGTCTTCAGAGGTGTAAGGGTAGTTAGGAGACTGAAACTACGACATTTGGTGCAATGATTTTCATGGAATTATTGATGTTATGTTTATCAACCAATCAGTGATCGTGCACAAAGTCCAGCTGCATTTTGAATGTTAAGATTGCAGAAAAGCCAGACTATTTGGCAATGACACCGTCCATGTCCACCGCAGCCCTACCCAGAACATCTGATGCAATAGACCACAGACAATCACCTGCAGAGGAGTGGAATGTCAGCACAAAACAGGTTCTGGATTTCAGGCCTACAAATGCCAACATCATATGCATTGTGACATCATGGTTGCTCCGGATTACAAACATTCTGAAAACACAAAAAATTGGAAAATAAACAAAAATACAAGCAAAGCAGAACATAAAGTGGCATGTCACTGGATGATGTGCTTCTTTCGTGCCTAAAATGAAGAAAACCGGCGCAACATTTTTGAAAGAGATCCGTACGAAACGTTGTGGCTTACGGTATTATAATACAAATATTCCTGAAGAATTGGCATGAACCGAATGGCACTACTTCCTATTTCAAATTTCTATCCATGTGATACAATTATTGATCGCAACACAAGTTATTTGCACTCACAGTACTAATCCAGAGTCAGAATGCAAACTACCTCTGCTAAGCTTTTGTGTATCCAATGTTGCTGTTCTTTTTCAAAAGCAAAGGGAATGTAATATGGATAGGTGCCCTAGGATGGAAAGGACAACTCTCTCTAAGTGCAGTGTGCTTTTGATGTATACCACACAAAACATGTGGATTGGCTGGCTCAGACTAGCACCAATGGTAGCTGGTGTAACAGCGTCCTAGTCCTATGGTGTTATTAAAAGAACAATGCTTACACACATTACATCAAAGAAGTGAAAAAAGAGTGTCATTATCGGTGGCCTTTTTTGCTTTCATTTTATTACGAGAAAGAGGAAAATACCGTATTTCTTTCCTCTTTGGAAGTTTCCCTTGTTGACAGCAGCCTACCAGGCACTGCTAAACGTGTGCCAGCTCTGTACTCTGCAAAGTGAGCCATCATCAAAGGACCAGGGATGGCCACTGCATGCACGCTGTAGTGTTACGTAACATCTGTGGCCACTCAGGGGAAACAGCATCAGGGAGGGAAATCAACCTCATTGAAGCTGGATTACAGAGAATTGAACAGTTGGGGATTACTCCTTTGGCACAGAGATGGTTCACCATATTTTATTGGATCTTATGAATCTCATGAATACATAACAAATAATTAATCTTTATATAAACAAGCCGTCAAAAGACTTGGGGCTGCCAGCGGGGACAAAATGGGCTATTATCTTGATTTGGTTTTCTCTCTGAAAGTACATGCTTGAATGGCAAAGAAATGGGTGCAATTTCTTAGTGTATTATACAATCCAAACAAGACTATCCTCCTCTGCTAAGGTTCAGATGAGGACTCATGCTGAACATAAACAAACACTCACACTATTCAATCAGTTTCGTAGTTTTTTTCCATCTCACCTGAAAGCCTGATTAGCAATTTTGATTGTATAGGCTGAGGCTCTTACACAGTTAAAATAACAGTAACTTTTTTTGAGAAACCTTTATAGTGTGTAAGTTCCATTCTTATCGATTCAGGTTTATCCAAGTCAGCACCTTATGTTGATGCTGGAATGATATTCGGTTACACTTTATTTGGATAGTACCCAATAGATTATCTACAGATACTCAAACATTGAACTATCAATTGCTACTCTGTTGATATTCCTTTCCCCAGACTCCCAGCTTGCTATAAGCAATGAGAATAGAGGACAAAGATGGTGTGAGGGTGGGAGGAGGTGAAACAGAGATTAAAATACAATGTACACTACCATTCAAAAGTTTGGGGTCACTTAGAAATGTCCTTGTTTTCAAAAGAAATTATATTTTTTGGCTGATTTTTAAATGGAATAGGCTTACAGAAGCCCATTATCAGCAACCATCAGTCCTGTGTTCCAATGGCACGTTGTGTTTGCTAATCCAAGTTTATCATTTTAAAAGGCTAATTGATCATTAGAAAACCCTTTTGCAATTATGTAAGCACAGCTGAAAACTGTTGTGCTGATTAAAGAAGCAATAAAACTGGCCTTCTTGAGACTAGTTGAGTATCTGGAGCATCAGCAATTGTGGGTTCAATTCTTCCCATTACCACTATTTCACAGTATTATCATCGTACTGCTATAGATTTCCATGTTCCCAGGGGTATTGTCAGTAGTAATCTTATACCAATAAAGTTGAACTCTGTTGCTGTTAGCCAAAATGAGAGGCCTGCTGTCAGCTCACCCAGTGCTATTATTTTAAATACCTACAGTATATGGATACCCCTGCTGTTTTCAAAGCACATAGAGGGCGTGGATGGTTGCACAGAAACGTGCGAAGCTTGATGTCAAAGATGGACCATATGGATGTCTGGATGCATGACACAAACCCTGACATTCTGGTTCTCACAGAGACCTGGATAAATTGCTAGAGTATGGATAAGGACATTGAAATGGCTGATTACAACATTTTCAGGTGTGATAGACTGAAAAAAAAGGGGGGGGGGACTATATATGTCAAATTGACTCTTGTAGCATCATGTTCCCTAAGTGTCACTATTCCCAAAAAGTTTGAATGTTTGGGTTTCAAGTCATGCCTTTCGGTCTAGCCAACGCACCTGCGGTGTTCCAGGCATTGGTCAATGACGTTCTCCGGGACCTCCTCGACTACAGCGTCTTTGTGTATTTGGATGACATCCTAATATTCTCAAAGGACATGAGTGAACACCAGCAGCACGTTCGGCAGGTCCTCCAACGCCTTCTCCGTCACCAGCTCTACGTCAAGGTGGAGAAGTGCGTGTTCCACACAGAGACAGTCTCCTTCCTGGGGTTCATCGTCACCCAGGGGGGACCTACGGATAGACCGGACTGATCAGAGCCTGAAGGTACAGAGGTGCCGTTCCCCTCACTGCTCCATAGGCAAGCACCATGGTCTTGTAGCGGATGCGAGCTTCAACTGGAAGCCAGTGGAGTGTGCGGAGGAGGGGGGTGACGTGAGAGAACTTGGGAAGGTTGAACACCAGACGGGCTGCGGCATTCTGGATGAGTTGTAGGGGTTTAATGGCACAGGCAGGGAGCCCAGCCAACAGCGAGTTGCAGTAGTCCAGACGGGAGATGACAAGTGCCTGGACCAGGACCTGCGCCGCTTCCTGTGTAAGGCAGGGTCGCACTCTCCGAATGTTGTAGAGCATGAACCTGCAGGAGCGGGTCACCGCCTTGATGTTGGCGGAGAACGACAGGGTGTTGTCCAGGGTCACGCCTAGGCTCTTCGCACTCTGGGAGGAGGACACAGCGGAGTTGTCAACCGTGATGGCGAGATCATGGAACGGGCAGTCCTTCCCCGGGAGGAAGAGCAGCTCCGTCTTGCCAGGGTTCAGCTTGAGGTGGTGATCCGTCATCCATACTGATATGTCTGCCAGACATGCAGAGATGCGATTCGCCACCTGGTTATCAGAAGGGGGAAAGGAGAAGATTAGTTGTGTATCGTCAGCGTAGCAATGATAGGAGAGACCATGTGAGGATATGACAGAGCCAAGTGACTTGGTGTATAGGGAGAAAAGGAGAGGGCCCAGAACCGATCCCTGGGGGACACCAGTGGTGAGAGCACGTGGTGCGGAGACAGCTTCCCGCCACGCCACTTGGTAGGAGCGACCGGTCAGGTAGGACGCAATCCAGGAGTGAGCCGCGCCGGAGATGCCCATCTCGGAGAGGGTGGCGAGGAGGATCTGATGGTTCACAGTATCAAAGGCAGCAGACAGGTCTAGAAGGACAAGAGCAGAGGAGAGAGAGTTAGCTTTAGCAGTGCGGAGAGTCTCCGTGACACAGAGAAGAGCAGTCTCAGTTGACCCAGCCAAGGTCAGCGCGGTACTGGATTAGCCCCAGCCCTCATCCCTCAAGCAACTACAGCGATATTTTGTGTTTACACATTTTTATAGACGATTTATTCACAATTTTAGCTCCCCAGCTGCTCCCCTGACAGCCCTCACCCAGACGAGTGTGCGCTCCTTCGCCTGGACCCCGGAAGCAGGGAACGCATTTGATGCGCTTAAGCGGCGCTTTACATCAGCCCCGGTCCTAGGGCATCCTGATCCGTCCCAGCCGTTCATTGTGGAGGTGGATGCTTCAGACGTTGCGGTGGAAGCAATCCTGTCCCAGCGGTTCCTCACGGATGGTAAGACTCACCCCTGCTCGTTTATCTCCCGTCGGCTGTCCCCGGCGGAGCGGAATTACGACGTGGGGAACCGTGAGTTGCTAGCGGTCAAGCTCGCCCTAGGGGAGTGGAGGCATTGGCTAGAGGGGGCTGCCCATCCATTTGTCGTATGGACGGACCATAAGAACTTAGCCTACATTCAGTGGGCCAAGAGGCTCAACTCGCGCCAGGCCAGGTGGGCGTTGTTCTTCACCAGGTTCCGGTTCACCGTCTCATACCGTCCGGGGTCGAAGAACAACAAGCCTGACGTGCTCTCCAGGCAGTTCGACCCTTTGGACCTGGTGGAGAGGGACAACCCCATTGTCCCCAACGCCCTGATTCCTGCACCAGTTTTGCAACTCTGCCTAGAGGGTCAGCATTCCGGAGTCGCCTCTTCACTGTTGACTGGCCATTTTGAGCCTGTAATCGAACCCACAATTGCTGATGCTCCAGATACTCAACTAGTCTCAAGAAGGCCAGTTTTATTGCTTCTTTAATCAGCACAACCGTTTTCAGCTGTGCTAACATAATTGCAAAAGGGTTTACTAATGATCAATTAGCCTTTTAAAATGATAAACTTGGATTAGCAAACACAATGTGCCATTGGAACACAGGACTGATGGTTGCTGATAATAGGCATTTGTATGCCTCTGTAGATGTTCCATAAAAAATCAGCCATTTCCAGCTACAATAGCCATTTACAACATTAACAATGTCTACACTGTATTTCTGATCAATTTGATGTTATTTTAATGGACAACAAAAAAAGCTTTTCTTTAGAAAACAAGGACATTTCTAAGTGACCCCAAACTTTTGAACTGTAGATCATCTCATTTCCGGGCCTGTACCAAAAATAGGCCGCGGAGTTCATCGCTTTAGTCGTCTCCTCGGTCTACACTGCTGGCTTAAATCCTACTGTTCCACCTTGGATTTGGAGTTCGTTGACAATTTGGACCACTTCTGGGAGAGGGCCAAGCTTTACAAGGGTTTGCATCCAAATAGTTTCGACCCTTTGGACCTGGTGGAGAGGGACAACCCCATTGTCCCCAACGCCCTGATTGCTGCACCAGTTTCGTGGGGAATCGATAGGCTGGTCAGAGCAGCACTACGGCGGGAGCCCGATCCGGGCGGAGGTCCATCGGGGAGGATGTACGTACCCAAGGCTGCGCGCTCGCGACTGTCTTGATTTTAACTTGACTCAGTTTATCTCCAAACTCACATGAATTAACGTAAGAAACTCAGCAAATTCCTCGCTGATTGACCTGATTTTGACAAATAGCCCCCACAAGTACGTATCGAATGGTGTCTTTGCTAATGACATCAGTAATCACTGTCCTATTGCATGTATTAGAAATACCAAACAGACAAACTTTGAGGATATGCATTTTTCATACCTTTCCTCCATCAGCTGCATGCCTGACCCTGAATTGGGGCTTGATCTTTTCTAATCTATTTTTATATATCTGGCAGACAAACTGTCACGACCGTCTACGGAAGGAGTGGACCAAAGCGCAGCGTTTGTAGCGAACATGACTTTATTAAAGTTAAAGAGCACGAACGAGAAAACAATAAACAATGACGGATAGTGAAGTCCTCAGTACACAGACTGAAACATGGAACAAAAACCCACAACCCTAAGGTGAACACTGACAGTTTAAATATGGCTCCCAATCAGAGATAACGAGCCGACAGCTGACACTCGTTACCTCCGATTGGGAGTCACATGACGAGACAAGACACTACAACCAAAACCAAACACAACCAAATGAACACACCCTATACCCAACACAACCAAATGAATACACCCTGGCTCAAACTACACAGTCCCGGAGCCAGAGCGTGACAGTACCCCCCCCTAAAGGCGCGGACTCCGACCGCGCCTACACCCCAAAATAGGGGAGGGCTGGGTGGGTGTTGCTCCTCGGAGGCGGCTCCGGCTCCGGGCTTGACCACCACCCCACTTCACTCCCCCCGTAGTGCCCCCGGTCCGATCTGACCCAGCTTGCTGGATCAGGACCTCCGACGCGCACCCCTGGCTTGGCGCGTGAGGTAGGAATGGACCGGAACTGGCAGACGATACGCACCCTTTGCCTGGTGCGTGGAGCCGGAACAGGCCTCACCAGGCTGAAGACTCGCATCCCTGGCTTGGTGCGAGTAGCAGGAACGGGCTGGACCAGGCTGACGACTCGCACCCTTGGCTTGGTGCGAGTGGCAGGAACAGGCCGGACCGGGCTGGCGACGCGCACCGTAGGTTTGGTGCGAGTGGCAGGAACAGGCCGGGTCGGGCTGGCGACGCGCACCGTAGACTTGGTGCGGGTGGCAGGAACAGGCCGGACCGGGCTGGCGACGCGCACCGTAGGTTTGGTGCGAGTGGCAGGAACAGGCCGGGTCGGGCTGGCGACGCACACCGTACACTTGGTGCGGGTGGCAGGAACAGGCCGGACCGGGCTGGCGACGCGCACCGTAGGTTTGGTGCGAGTGGCAGGAACAGGCCGGGTCGGGCTGGCGACGCGCACCGTAGACTTGGTGCGGGTGGCAGGAACAGGCCGGGCTGGGCTGGCGACGCACACCGTAGGTTTAGTGCGTGGAGCAGGAACAGGCCGGGCTGGGCTGGCGACGCACACCGTAGGTTTAGTGCGTGGAGCAGGAACAGGCCGGGCTGGGCTGGCGACGCACACCGTAGGTTTAGTGCGTGGAGCAGGAACAGGCCGGGCTGGGCTGGCGACGCACACCGTAGGTCTGGTACGTGGAGCAGGAACAGGCCGGACAGGGCTGTCGACGCACACCGTAGGCTTTGTGCGTGGAGCAGGAACAGGCCGGACCGGGCTGGCGACGCGCACCGTAGGTTTGGTGCGAGTGGCAGGAACAGGCCGGGTCGGGCTGGCGACGCGCAACGTAGACTTGGTGCGGGTGGCAGGAACAGGCCGGGCTGGGCTGGCGACGCACACCGTAGGTTTAGTGCGTGGAGCAGGAACAGGCCGGGCTGGGCTGGTGACGCACACCGTAGGTTTAGTGCGTTGAGCAGGAACAGGCCGGGCTGGGCTGGCGACGCACACCGTAGGCTTTGTGCGTTGAGCAGGAACAGGCCGGGCTGGGCTGGCGACGCACCCCGTAGGCTTTGTGCGTAGAGCAGGAACAGGCCGGGCTGGGCTGACGACGCACCCCGTGGGCTTGGTGCGTGGAGTAGGAACAGGCCGGTCCGTACTGGGAACACACACCACTGGCCTTAACCGAGGATCAGGAACGGGCCGGACCGGACTGGTAACACACCTCAGTCTCTCACGCCGTGCCTCAACTACTTCCCTCCCTCTACTCGCCAATGGCTCCCGTAATCCGGTAGCCTTCTCTCCACGTCTCCCTGTGGCAGCCTCCTGCTGCCCAGCCGCCCAAGCCATGTGCCCCCCCCAAAAAACTTTTTGGGGTTGCCTCTCGTCCCTCCGACGATGGCCCTGCTGACGCCGTTGCTCCTCTCTCGCCAGGGCCTTGATCCTCCCCCAAGGTCCCTTGCCCCCGAGCATGTCCTCCCAGGACCACGATTTGCCCACCTGGGCCATCGCCAGCCTCTCGATCTCCTTACCCGGCGCTTCCTCCCATGTCCAGTCTCCTTGCTCCTGGACACGCTGCTTGGTCCTTTTTTGGTGGGTTTTTCTGTCACGACCGTCTACGGAAGGAGTGGACCAAAGCGCAGCGTTTGTAGCGAACATGACTTTATTAAAGTTAAAGAGCACGAACGAGAAAACAATAAACAATGACGGATAGTGAAGTCCTCAGTACACAGACTGAAACATGGAACAAAAACCCACAACCCTAAGGTGAACACTGACAGTTTAAATATGGCTCCCAATCAGAGATAACGAGCCGACAGCTGACACTCGTTACCTCCGATTGGGAGTCACATGACGAGACAAGACACTACAACCAAAACCAAACACAACCAAATGAATACACCCTGGCTCAAACTACACAGTCCCGGAGCCAGAGCGTGACACAAACGCCCCCTTTAAACGCCTTAGAGTTACAAATATAGCTAATCCATGGTTCTCTATAGAACTTTCAGATCTCATTATGATGAGAAATCATGCCTGGGCAAAGGCATGAAAAACAGACTCGTTAGCCAATTGGCAGCTTTTCAGACAATTGAGAAATAAATGTACTTCCTCAATTAAGAAAGCTAAATCTAGCTACTTTCTAAGTTCTATTTCTGACTGTTAGTGATTCGTCAAAATTTTTGAAAACTGTTAATGCAATGAAGTGTGGGAATCCCCACCCTTCCCTGCCCAAGCAAATTGAGTCAGACTCTGGCATCATTACTGGGAAAAATTAGATAAGGGATGCTTTTAATCATGATTTTATATCAGCACAATTTTAATTTGAAAGAAATGTTGGTTAGCTGACCCTGGTCTGTCAATAGATGGCTCCTCCCTCTCCCAGCCCCCGGTTGGCTTGATGGAGGATCAGTCAACTTCTGGTGAATCTTTGTTTACATTTCAACAACTTTCTACTTGTGATGTGCTAGATGCCTTGCTGAAGATTGATGTAAAAACAATCTACCGGGGCAGATTTGCATGATCCCTTCTTGCGGTAGCTTTCTGCTGCTCTGATTGCAGAATCTTTAACACATGTTTGTAACCTTACGATTACTTCTGGTATCATTCCCAGGGTCTGGCAGGCAGCACATATACCCCTTCACAAAGGTGGTGACCTGTGTGACTGAAATAATTATTGCCCCATTTCCCTAGCAAACATTTTCGAATCCTTGGTAAATACTCAATTTAGATACTTTTTAACCATAACATGTATTCTAAATGTACACTGCCATCTCTGCTTCTGCTAAATTATGTTTTTAACTGCACGACATCGTCAGCGTTCTTTTGTGTCTGGAGGCGAACACCCACACATGTTCCGAGCCCTCTGCTGCGCACTGTTCCCTACCCATCCACTTTCCTGATCACATTGTAGTTCCACAGTGTAAGGCGCTAGTCGATACAGGCGCAGCAGGGAACTTTATGGACAGGGCATTCTCACACAGTCTAGGCATTTCATTGGTTCCCCTATCCATTCCACTCCCAATCAGAGCACTTGACAGTCGACCATTAGGGTCCGGGTTTGTTAGGGAAGTTACCGCACCAATCACCATGGTTACCCATGAGACTCATTGCGAGCAAGTCACGTTATTTATTATTGAGTCTCCTGCTTTCCCTGTGGTACTAGGTATCCCTTGGTTAGCACTCCACAACCCCAGATTCTTATGGCCACAGAAAGTTCTCACGGGGTGGTCGCGAGAGTGTCAGGGTAGGTGTATCGGTGTTTCCGTTGGTGCAACCACAGTGGAAAGTCCAGACAGTACCTCAACTGTGCGCATTCCCCCCCGAATACCTTGATTTGGCGCATGCGTTTTACAAAACGCAGGCGACCAAGTTACCACTTCATCGGGCGGGGGATTGCGCGATAAACCTCCGGGTAGACGCTGTGCCTCCCAGGAGTCATGTGTATCCCCTGTCACAGGCTGAAATGGAGGCTATGGAAAAATACGTCACCAAGTCCCTGCGCCAGGGGTTTATACGTCCCTCCACTTCACCCGTCTCCTCAAGTTTATTTTTTGTGAAGAAGAAAGACGGCGGTCTGCGCCCTTGCATTGATTATCGATCACTGAACAAGGAGATGATACGATTTAGTTATCCTCTCCCCCTCATTCCTTCAGTGATCAAGTCAATGCATGGGGCGCGCTTCTTCACCAAATTAGATCTCTGGAGTGCGTACATCCTGGTACGTGTCTGAGAGGGGGATGAGTGGAAGACAGCATTCAGTACAACCACAGGGCATTATGAATACCTGGTGATGCCCTACGGTTTGATGAATGCTCCATCCGTCTTCAGTCCTTTGTGAACGAGATGTTTAGGGACATGCTTGGTCGCGGTGTAGTGGTCTACATCGATGACATTCTGGTGTATTCCACTACGCGCGCCAAGCATGTGTCCCTGGTTCGCAAAGTGCTGGCCCGACTGTTGGAAAATTACCTTCATGCCAAGGCAGAAAAGTTTCTGTTTTTCCAGCAGTCTGTCTCCTTCCTCGGATACCGCATTACCACCTCAGGTGTGGAGATGGAGGGATATTCGCATTTCAGTCCGTGCGTAATTGGCCGACTCCAACCACGGTTAAGGAGGTGCAGCGCTTTATTGGCTTCGCCAACTACTAAAGAAGGTTTATCTGGGGCTTTGGCAAGGTCGCAGCTCCCATTACATCTCTGTTGAAGGGTGGGCCGTCCCGGCTCCGCTGGTCTGCTGAGGCTGACAGGGCCTTCAGTAACCTGGGGGTCTGTTCACCTCAGCCCCGGTACTGGCCCACCCCGATCCATCACTACCATTCGTAGTGGAGGTGGATGCGTCTGAGGTAGGGATAGGCGCTGTCCTATCTCAACGCTCGGGCACGCCACCCAAGCTCCGCCCCTGTGCCTTCTTCTCTAAGAAGCTCAGCCCGGCGGAGCAGAACTACGACGTTGGTGATCGGGAGTTGTTGGATGTTGTCCGAGTCCTGGCCGTGTGGAGGCATTGGCTCGAAGGGGTGAAACACCCTTTCCTCGTCTGAATGGACCACAGTAACCTGGAGTACATCCGGGCAGCGAGGAGGCTAAATCCTCGCCAGGCCAGGTGGGCCCTATTTTTCACCTGGTTTGATTTCACACTATCACACATCCCGGGTACGAAGAACGTGAAGGCAGACGCATTGTCACGGCTGTATGACACAGAGGAGAGGTCCAGGGACAACACCCCCATACTCCCAGCCTCCTGCATTGTGGCGCCGGTAGTATGGGTGATGGACGCTGATATAGAGCAGGCGTTACGCACAGAGCCATCTCCACCTCAGTGTCCAGATGGGATGTGACCGTCTGATCTACTGGGCACACTCCTCTGGTCACCCAGGTATCGGTCGTACAGTGCGCTGCCTGACCGGAAAGTACTGGTGGCCTACCTTGGCTAAGGACGTGATGGTGTATGTCTCCTCCTGCTTGGTGTGCGCCCAGAGTAAGGCACTTAGGCCCCTCCCGGCGGGTAAGTTACAACCTTTACCAGTTCCACAACGACCATGGTCTCACCTGAGTGTTGATTTCCTTACTGATCTTCCCCTCTCCCAAGGTAACACCACCATCATGGTCGTTGTGGACCGCTTTTCCAAGGCCTGCCGTCTCCTTCCTCTGCCCGGTCTCCCCATGGCCCTGCAGACTGCAGACACACGTCTTCCGGCACCAAGAGGTACCAGAGGATATAGTGTCTGACTGGGGTCCCCAGTTCACATCCAAGGTCTGGAAGGCATTCATGGAACGTCTGGGGGTCTCGGTCAGCCTGACCTCTGGTTTCCACCCTGAGTCTAATGGGCAGGTGGAATGGGTAAATCAGGATGTGGGTAGGTTCCTGTATTCCTACTGCCAGGACCGGCCGGGGGAGTGGTCGGTGTTCTTGCCATGGTCCGAATATGCCCAGAACTCTCTCCGCCACTCCTCCACTTACCCAGCAACATTCCAATGTGTTTTAGGTTACCAACCGGTTCTAGCACCGTGGCACCAGAGCCAGACCGAGGCTCCTGCAGTGGATGACTGGTTTCGGTGCGTGGAGGAGACGTGGGACGCTGCCCACGTCCACCTCCAACGCGCCGTGCGTCGTCTGAAGGCCAATGCTGACCGACACCGCTGTGAGGCCCCGGTCTTCGTACCGGGTGATCGGGACTGGCTCTCGACCCGGAATCTGCCCCTCCGCCTGCCCTGCCAGAAGCTGAGCCCGCGGTTTGTGGGGCCGTTCAAAGTCCTGAGGAGAATCAACGAGGTTTCCTATAGGTTATTACTCCCCATGATTACCGTATTAAGCACTCGTTTCATGTGTCTCTCCTCAGGCCGGTGGTGGCTGTTCCGCTCCAGGAGTCTGAGGAACGGGAGGTCCCTCCGCCTCCTCTGGACATCGAGGGGGCCCCGGTGTACTCCGTCCGTTCCATCCTGGATTCGAGGCGTCGGTTGGGGGGCCTTCAGTACCTCATGGAGTGGGAGGGGTACGGTCCGGAGGAACGGCGCTGGATTTCCACCGTCGCCGTCCGGCTAGCCCTGCTCCGCGTCCTCCTGGCCGTCCCTGAGGCCGGGGTTGGCGCAATGCTGGATCTGCGCGTCAAGGGTGGGGGGGGGGGGGGGGGGGGGTACTGTCACGACTACCCCCGAAGCTGCCTCCCCTCCTTGTTCGGGCAGGCTTCGGCATTCGTCGTCACCGGCCTTCTAGCCACTGCCGCTCCGTATCTCATCATTCCATTTGTCTTGTCTTGTATATTATACACACCTGGTTCATCTTCCCCTCATTAGTATGTGTTTAAGTGTTCCCTCTGCCCCCTTGTCCTTGTGGGTGATTGTTCATTGTGAGGATTATTACCTCGGTTGAGCTCAGTATTTTGTATTGCTGGGGTATTATCCCTGTGTGCATGTTTGTTCCAGAGCGCCTGTTTTGCGCACTGGACTGGTTACGCTGGATTATATAATAAACTCTGTATACTGTGATTTACCCTCCTGCGCCTGACTCCTTCAAATCACGCATCACAATTGATTTATCTGTAAAAACTTTCAACCTTCACCTGTATGCAGATGACACTCTTGTGTATGCTATTGCCACAACGGCTGACCAGGCTCTTTCGGAGCTTCAGTCTGTCTTTATTGCCCTGTAGACGGCCTTTGTTGAACTTAAGTTAGTGCTTAATGCAGGTAAAACCAAGTACATGTTGTTTTTCGAATTCACGTAAAAATGTATGCATACGTACTTTGGATGGTGCCATCAATGATCTTGTTCCCGCGTATAAATATCTGGGCATCTGGATTGACAATAGGCTTTCATTCAAAATACATGTTGATGAGTTAGTTAAAAAGTTTAGAATAAAATGTGGCTTATTTTTTTAGGAATAGGTCATGCCTTACGTTAAATAGCAGAAAACAAATAACTAAGTCGATATTAATTCCGATTTTAGACTATGGCAATATAATTTATATGAATGCAGCTGCCACTGTATTGAAGCCACTGAATGCTGTATATAATAATGCATTATGCTTCATTACGGGCACTAGGTTCAGCACACATCAATGTACTCTGTATGAGAAAGTAGGCTGGCCCTCTTTGAAGTCTCGCAGATTCATTGCTCTCTTTTTGTCTGTAAAGCCCTCTTGTGTAAACTACCACACTACCTGACTTCTGTGGTAACCTACAGAAATACAAGCTATCAGACAAGATCTCAGGAATGGTTAACTCTAGAGGTCCCTTCGATCTCGACAGAGTTAGATAAAACTGCATTTAGCTATTTTGTACGTTTCTTGTGGAATGGTTTACATTTTATGAATTGGTGCCTCTGATGCAGTTCAGACGGCTATGTGAGGACCTTTTTAAGGAATAATGTGTTTTGTTTTTTATATTTCTATGATTGATCTTATGTTTTTTTATTTTGTATTATTGTGTTGTGTTTTTTTGCTTCCTTATATATTGTATGTAACTAGGCCTATGTTTTGTAACTTTCCCCAGGTCGTTGCTGCAAATGAGAATGTATTCTCAGTCAACTCACCTAATCTAATTTTGAACGCTATTTTATATACCGTAGGTTAGCTCTCATTTTCTCAGAAATGTGTACATAATCCCGAAACATAACCTTGCCTGACGTACAACATTAGATACAAATCGCAGGATTTGACCATAGTATTTGTTTCAGTGTCGCTGAAATATGATGACTTTGTTTCCGGCTCAACAATCAAACATAGTCTAAAATGTGCTTGAGGTACACTATACTGTATATACAATAGTATGTGGACAACCCTTCAAATTAGTGGATTCGGTTATTTCAGCCACACCCGTTGCTGACAGGTGTATAACATCGAGCACACAGCCATGCAATCTCCATAGCCAAACATTGGTAGTAGGATAGCCTTACTGAAGTGCTCATTGACTTTCAACGTAGCACCATTATAGGATACCACCTTTCCAACAAGTCAGTTCGTCAAATTTCTGCCCTGCTAGAGCTGCCCCGGTGAACTGTAAGTGCTGTTATTGTGAAGTGGAAACGTCTAGGAGCAACAACGGCTCAGCCGCGAAGTGGCAGGCCACACAAGCTCACAGAACAGGACCGCCGAGTACTGAAGCTTGTAGCGCTTAAAAATCGTGGTGTAAAGCTCGCCGCCATTGGACTCTGGAGCAGTGGAAACACGTTCTCTGCTGTGATGAATCACGCTTCACCATCTGGCAGTCCGACAGACTAATCTGGGTTTGGCGGATGCCAGGAGAACGCTACCTGCCCGAATGCATTGTGCCAACTGTAAAGTTTGGTGGAGGAGAAATAATGGTCTGGGGTTGTTTTTCATGGTTCGGGCTAGGCCCCTTAGTTCCTGTGAAGATAAATCTTAATGCTACAACATACAATGAAATTCTAGACGATTCTGTGCTTCCAACTTTATGGCAACAGTTTGGGGAAGGACCTTTCCTGTTTCAGCATGACAATGCCCCCGTGCACAAAACCATACAGAAATGGTTTGTCGAGATCAGTGTGGAAGAACATGACTGGCCTATACAGAGCCCTGACCTCAAACCTATTGAACACCTTTGGGATGAATTGGAATGCCGACTGCGAGCCAGGCCTAATCGCTCAACATCAGTGCCCGACCTCACTAATGCTCTTGTGGGTGAATGGAAGCAAGTCCCCACAGCAATGTTCCAACATCTTGTGGAAAACCTTCCCAGAAGAGTAGAGGCTGTCATAGCAGACAAAGGGGGTACCAAATCCATTTTAATGTCCAAGATTTTGGAATGAGATGTTCGACGAGCATACTTTTGGTCATGTAGTGTACCTCTGCATATTTAAGCTGGCAAAGTAATGAAGCATGATGATTGAGCATGTGTGTTTTAATAAGGTAATGGGCACAGTATCATTATTCATGCATGAAAACAGACCTGTTAGTCAAATTATAATATATTGTGTGTTCAAACATTGCCTATTAGAATATACAGTACATTAGGGACATAGGGGTAATCATTTTAATTTATCAAGGCCAAAACTTTAATTTAAATGGGACAGGTGGTAATGCATAATATCAACAGAGAGCAAAAGAGTTCCTGGGTCAGTCTGTATTTTGTTATTCCGCTCATTACCCACAATGGACGTGTTTCTTCAAGCGCTATTTGATAAAGGAACAGTGAACCTGAGTGGAGAGTGATAGCAGAAGATAGATGAGATAGGGTAAGAAATCTCCAAAGACTCTGCCTGTCCAAATGTGTGGCAGCTGGTTTGGACCGTCCCCGAAGTGCTTTAAAAATAGATCAGCGAAGAACCAGAGAGAAGGGGAAAAAAGCGAGGAATCGAGGTCATAACTTTAAAACAGGGAGGAAATTAATTATGCGTCTTCAGCACCTATGTTCAGCTCAATGAGCAAGGTCGGTACAAGCGGGGGGAGGGGGATGGGGCGGGGGGTTTGCTTATTCTAGTGTTTATGTTTATGTTGTCATTTGAATATTCAGAAAGTGCCTTCAGAAAGTATTCACACCCCTTGATTCTTTCCCCACATTTTGTTGTTACAGCCTGAATTTAAAATGTATCAAATTGAGATTTTGTGCCACTGATCTACACACAATATCCCTCAATGTCAAAGTGAAATCTTGTTTTTAGAAAAATGTCACACAGACCAGGGAGGTTTTCCAATGCTTCGCAAAGATGGATAAAAAAAAACAGAAACAGAATATCCCTTTGAGCATGGTGAAGTTATTATTACGCTTTGGATGGTGTTTCAATACACCCAGTCACTACAAAGATACAGACGTCCTTCCTGACTCAGTTGCCAGAGAGGAAGGAAACTGCTCACGGATTTCACCATGAGGCCAATGGTGATTTTAAAACAGTTACAGAGTTTAATGGCTGTGATAGGAGAAAAATGAGGATGGATCAAGAACATTGTAGTTACTCCACAATACTAACCTTAATGTGAAAAGAAGGAAGTTTTATGTTTGGGTCAAATCCAACACATCACTGAGTATCACTCTTCATATTTACAAGCATAGTGGTGGCTGCATCATGCTATGGATATGCTTGTCATTGGCAAGGACTAGGGATTATATATATATAGATTTTTACAATAAAAAGAAACAGAATAGAGTTAAGCACAGGCAAAATCCTAGAGGACAACATGGTTCAGTCTGCTTTCCAACAGACACTGGGAGACAAATGCACCTGTCAGCAGGACAATAACCTAAAACTCAAGGGCAAATATACACTGGAGTTGCTTACCAAGACGACATTGAATGTTCCTGAGTGGCCTAGTTACAGTTTTGACTTAAAGCGGCTTGAAAATCTATGGCAAGACTTGAAAATGGCTGTCTGGCAATGATCAACAACCAACTTGACAGAGTTTGAAGAGTTTAAAAAAGAATAATGGCCAAATATTGTACAATCCAGGTTTGCAAAGCTCTTAGAGACTTACCCAAAAAGACTTACAGCTCTAATTGCTGCCAAAGGTGATTCTAATATATATATATTGACTCAGGTGGTTGAATACTTATCTAATCAAGATATATTAGTTTTATTTTTCGTTAGTCACATTTTTTCTTCCACTTTGATATTACAGAGTATTTTGTGTAGATTGTAAAGAAAACATCAACAATTAAATCCATTTTAATCCCAATTTGTAACACAACAAAAATGTTGTATTGTCAAAGTGGAAGAAAAAAATGTATTAATGAAAAATAAAAAACTAATATATCTTCATTAGATAAGTATTCAACCCCCTGAGTCAATATATATTAGAATCACCTTTGGCAGCAATTAGAGCTTTGAGTCTAATGTGGAACATTTTGTGAAAACTTTCTGAAGGCACTGTACATCTTTGAACTATCATGTTATAATTTATACTCATGGATCCATAGCCATCCATTTGAGAGTGGTTACATTTCCACCCCCCCATCCCTCTCCATACTAAACATTGTGGCAGGGTCAGGCAGTTGTAATGACAGATTGTGGCTTTAATTGTTTGTACTGAATTAATTGCACACGTTTACCGTCAAGATGTCCCTATCATCTAACAATAAGTAACTACAACGTTCCCTAATTATAGAACGTGAGTCCTGGATTACCCGCTAATGAGTAGCAATTAATCATTAATCAGCTCAGTCGTATAGCCGCTATAACCTGCCCAGTGGCTGCTGCTGAGGGGAGGACGGTTCATAATAATGGCTGGAATGGCGTGAATGGAATGGCATCAAACACATGGAAACCATGTTTGATGTATTTGATACCATTCCACTGATTCTGCTCCAGCAATTACCACGAGCTTGTTCTCCCCAATTAAGGTGCCACCAACCTCCTGTCACCAACCTGTCACCAACCTGTCACCAACCTGTCACCAACCTCATAATCAAGGCTATAATTCTAAGAATTAGAGGGTGATGCTAAAGTTTGCAATGGCTGATGTCATAGGATGATATAGGCTATGAGAGCGTTAGCATTTGGCCTATCTGTCATTTATTTAACCTTTTTTGCCACTGGGGGCCACCCATATGAAAATGTATACACGCACTAGTGTAAATCGGTTTGGATAAAATGTCTGCTAAATGGCATATGATAATTAGCTTAGAATAAAATGACGATATTTTTCCTTCCTCACCACTTACAATACTAGTTCAATTCAATGCTTCCTGAGCCCCCCTCTCACTCAACCACAGTGATCGCACCTTAGCTCTTGTACTCATCACGTCCCCTTTCCCTTCGTATTGTATTCCGTTGGGGAGAAAATGCTGCCAAAAATCACACATCAAGTAATTCCCTTAATTCTGCCTCCAGGCTGGTGGTTTAGCTGCTCCTCCGTGCTGGCCTGCTGCCAGAGGACCACTCTGTGCTGCTTCCTGCCATAGACAGGCCGCCCAAACTCCAGCCTCACTGTCAGACACCATTAAGCCAAAGCTGCCGCTATTATATAAGAGCACTGAGTTCCACAGCACCAATACAGTGGCAGTTCTCTATCGAATGTTTCATCGACATTAGCCCACAGGGGTTTGCCTTGAATATTGGAGGGGGAAAGGCTGATGTTGTGTTGAAGGGAGGTGTGCGAGGAGGGCGTTTGTTATCGCTTTACTAGGGGTGGCCATTGCTATGTTTAGATGTTGTCATTGAATGACTCAGCCCATTACAGGACATGGCAACTGACATACTGTGATAAAGTCTAATACAGTGTCTGGTGTTGTGGCTCCCAGGTCAGTGTTACAGACTGCTGACATTGTGACTGCAGATACAATTACTGTATCTATTGCATCACCTGACCTATTGTTCTACGTTCACAGGTGCATTTTATTTTACACTGGTATTTACATGTTACTGTATGTACTCTTTTGTGGCTTTGAAATGTATTCAAAACATGTACCATCCCAAACATTGGTACCCAGTTTGTTTTTGTTGAAGTACCAGAAATGTGATAAATTGGTACCACTTAATAAACACCAGGCAAATTCCTGCTGAAACAGGACTGTAAAATAAATGGTAACAATTTGTAAAATAAAGGGTAACACTGGTTTAAACTCATACATATCTTTTATTTACAAGGTATTAACTAAGAATTCAAGAAAAGTTGTGTCAATGAATCTCAAAGAAACCAAAATGTAATTACTATGCAATTATTAGGTAATTACCACTTTAACTATGTAATTCCTACCTAACTACCTGGCAGGGAGCTGTAAAATAAAGCGTTATTAAATAAAGCCGAACTGGGATTCCTCTTTGCAGAAGCGAAGCTAACCGTTTCTCCCATTTCTTCTTCTCTCTCTCCTTTTTGCCAGTCTGAATTACAGTGGGATGTGCCTGGCCTCTGACGCGCAATTCAGTGACTTCCTGGATGGGATGGGCCCTGCACAGTTTGTTGGGCGACAGACACTAGCCACAACATCATTGGGTGAGAGTAACTAAACGCTGTGCTTGAGCTAAACCTGTGCCTCTATACATTAAAGTGGCTATACATAACCTTTGCCTCTGGAATGCTCTGGAGCCAAAAGAGGTCCCCTAAATGGACAGATATATTGTGCAGAAATGACCTCATTGGACAGAAGGGGCCACACCTCCCCACACTCATTAACAAAATATATATTGTTTGTCTTAAAGTAAAAACATTTGTGTGGTTTCATGAGTTAGGAAATTGATTAATATTATTTAATGTGTATGAACCATACAGCCAACATGGTAAAGTTTGTGAGTGTGAGTGACTATGCTAATAGATATGTTTATCATTATCCAGGTGATGTTGAAATAGGCCTGCTGGAGAGAAATGGCGGTTTGGAGGTGGAGATCATGCAGGCCAGAGGACTCACACAGAAACCTGGATCCAAAGGACCTCCAGGTGAGCAAGGACCTGCAACCATCTAATCCCTTTAGTTCTCTGGGGGATGCTATCCAATCAGAACTCAAACCAAACCAAACCATATGTATGAAAAAAGTATGAAAATGTATGCACTCACTAACTGTAAGTCGCTCTGGATAAGAGCGTCTGCTAAATGACTAAAATGTAAATGTTGCTACAGTGAGAGGAAGAAACAAAAATCATTTAAGACACTGCAAACCTTATTCCTCATGGTGGATGTTAAAGTCTAATCTTTAATCTTGTAATCTGAAATGGTGGATGAAAAGCGTATCTGTGTGATCTGATTGCTTTGAGGTATTATGCGTGCCCCAGAGACACTGTAAAGTCCATGGAGAATAAGAGTGCCTCCTCCCAACTGCCCACTGCACTGAGGCTAGGAAACTCTGTCACCACCGATAAATCTACAATAATCGAGAATTTCAACAAGCATTTTGCTACGGCTGGCCATGCTTTCCACCTGGCTACCATTACCCCGGACACAAGCTCTGCACCCTCCGCTGCAACTTGGCCCCCCCAACACTGTGTTAACAAACCTCCAAACGAGCTTCAACGCCATACAACACTCCTTCCGTAGCCTCCAACTGCTCTTAAACATTAGTAAAACTAAATGCATGCTCTTCAACCGAACGCTGCTTGCACCCGCCCACCCGACTAGAATCACTACTCTCGGAGGGTCTGACCTAGAGTATGTGGACAACTACAAATACCTAGGTGTCTGGTTAGACTGTAAACTCTCCTTCCAGACTCACATTAAGACTCGCATCTCCAATCAAAAGTTTGATCTAGAATCGGCTTCCTATTTCGCAAACAAAGCCTCCTTCACTCATGCTGCCAAACAAGCCCTTGTAAAATAGACTATCCTACCGATCCTTGACTTTGGCGATGTCATTTACGAAATAGCCTGCAACACTCTACTCAGCAAATTGGATGTAGTCAATCACAGTGCCATCCGTTTTGTCACCAAAGCCCCATATACTACCCACCATTGTGACCTGTACGCTCTTGTTGGCTGGCCCTCACTACATATTCGTCGCCAAACCCACTTGCTCCAGGTCATCTATAAATCACTGCTAGGCAAATCCCCGTCTTATCTTAGCTCACTGGTCACCATAGCAACACCCACCCGTAGTCTGCGCTCCAGCAGGTATATCTCACTGGTCATCCCCAAAGCCAACACCTCATTTGGCTGCCATTCCTTCCAGTTCTCTGCTGCCAATGACTGGAACAAACTGCAAAAATCTCTGAAGCTGGAGACTCTTATCTCCCTCACTAACTTTAAGCGTCAGTTGTCAGAGCAGCTTACCGATCACTGCACCTGTACACAGCCATACTGAAATTAGCCCACCCAACTACCTCATCCCCATATTGTTATTTATTTTGCTAATTTGCACCCCAGTATCTCTATTTGCACATCATCTTTTGCACATCTATCATTCCAGTGTTAATACGAAAATGTAACTATTTTGCATTATGGCCTATTTATTGCCTTACCTCCATAACTTACTACTTTCGCACATACTGTAAATATATTTTCTGTTGTATTTTTGACTTTATGTTTTGTTTACCCCATATGTAACACTGTGTTGTTGTTTTTATCGCACTACTTTGCTTTATCTTGGCCATGTCGCAGTTGTAAATGAGAACTTGTTCTCAACTAGCTTACCTGGTTAAATAAAGGTTAAATACAAAAATAAAAAATAAAAATACCTGTCTTCTCTTGTTGCCAGCGGCTTACATTAAAGTGTACCTACTTGAAAAAGGGGTCTGTGTTGCAAAAAAGAAGACAAAGTCGGTTAGGAAATCCCTGGACCCTCTGTATAACCAAGTGCTGGTGTTCTCGGAGAGTCCACAGGGAAAAGTCGTTCAGGTAAGGTAAAACAGACTTCAGTCACCATTCACTCCATATACAGTGGGGGAAAAAAGTATTTAGTCAGCCACCAATTGTGCAAGTTCTCCAACTTAAAAAGATGAGAGAGGCCTGTAATTTTCATCATAGGTACACGTCAACTATGACAGACAACTTGAGATTTTTTTCCCCCAGAAAATCACATTGTAGGATTTTTTATGAATTTATTTGCAAATTATGGTGGAAAATAAGTATTTGGTCACCTACAAACAAGCAAGATTTCTGGCTCTCATAGACCTGTAACTTCTTCTTTAAGAGGCTCCTCTGTCCTCCACTCGTTACCTGTATTAATGGCACCTGTTTGAACTTGTTATCAGTATAAAAGACACCTGTCCACAACCTCAAACAGTCACACTCCAAATTCCACTATGGCCAAGACCAAAGAGCTGTCAAAGGACACCAGAAACAAAATTGTAGACCTGCACCATGCTGGGAAGACTGAATCTGCAATAGGTAAGCAGCTTGGTTTGAAGAAATCAACTGTGGGAGCAATTATTAGGACCTAGTGAATGACCTGCAGAGAGCTGGGACCAAAGTTACAAAGCCTACCATCAGTAACACACTACGCCGCCAGGGACTCAAATCCTGCAGTGCCAGACGTGTCCCCCTGCTTAAGACAGTACATGTCCAGGCCCGTCTGAAGTTTGCTAGAGTGCATTTGGATGATCCAGAAGAGGATTGGGAGAATGTCATATGGTCAGATGAAACCAAAATAGAACTTTTTGGTAAAAACTCAACTCGTCGTGTTTGGAGGACAAAGAATGCTGAGTTGCATCCAAAGAACACCATACCTACTGTGAAGCATGGGGGTGGAAACATCATGCTTTGGGGCTGTTTATCTGCAAAGGGACCAGGACGACTGATCCGTGTAAAGGAAAGAATGAATGGGGCCATGTATCGTGAGATTTTGAGTGAAAACCTCCTTCCATCAGCAAGGTCATTGAAGATGAAACGTGGGTGGGTCTTTCAGCATGACAATGATCCCAAACACACCGCCCGGGCAACGAAGGAGTGGCTTCGTAAAAACATTTCAAGGTCCTGGAGTGGCCTAGCCAGTCTCCAGATCTCAACCCCATAGAAAATCTTTGGAGGGAGTTGAAAGTCCGTGTTGCCCAGCGACAGCCCCAAAACATCACTGCTCTAGAGGAGATCTGCATGGAGGAATGGGCCAAAATACCAGCAACAGTGTGTGAAAACCTTGTGAAGACTTACAGAAAACGTTTGACCTGTGTCATTGCCAACAAAGGGTATATAACAAAGTATTGAGAAACTTTTGTTATTGACCAAATACTTATTTTCCACCATAATTTGCAAATAAATTCATAAAAAATCCTACAATGTGATTTTCTGGGGGAAAAAAATCTCAAGTTGTCTGTCATAGTTGACGTGTACCTATGATGAAAATTACAGGCCTCTCTCATCTTTTTAAGTGGGAGAACTTGCACATTTGGTGGCTGACTAAATACTTTTTTTCCCCACTGTACATGTTCATCAGTTTCATGTTCATATGGGCACGCAATGGAAAACGTTTTAAAATGTTTTGCAACAGAAAATTATCATGAGCATCCAGGTCCAGGTAGTCCCTCCCATTTTCCATCTGTTTTCTTACTCTTGGTGCCCAATGAACATGACCTTGGTGGTCTCAAAGATACCTCTGAATATTTACTCCTATTGACGAAAACCTCAAATGCAGGACACCAGGCTAATGTTAACTAGTGTTGTTTTCTAATTATGTAGACTAACCTATGAAAATGTAAAGAAAACGTCATATAAAGTATATCTATAAGTGTGGAGGCATCTACCATTAGCAGTTGATAAATAGGATTTTGTCACTAGTGGAACAAATTCCTTGCCCCAAAGGTGCAATCAGATGATGGAAAGTGCTGATTTGTACGAGTGCTCCAGGAAGGCTGATATACAAGTCCACAGGAGATTTGTCTCCACTCATTGTTTCCTCCCTGCTCCCTCTCACACCTTCTTCCTGTCTACTTCTCACACATCACACACACCTGTGGCTGAACAGACATACAACATCGGTTTCTATTAGAATGGGATCAGGCTGGCCCACTCGGCTATGGGAACAAGCCCAATGGAAGGACTGAAGGCATGCTGAGTTTACTCAACCGACATACATTAGTGACTGTGCCAAGGAAAGAATAAAGTGTAGTGAGAGACCTATTTTTATATTTTGATAACCTTATCCATTTGAGCCTGACTCTGTATATCCCGAGTTTAGCTTTTCTATTAAAGCTGCAAAAGGGCTCTGCATGGATATGGCTAACTACAGTCATGCCCTAGCAGTTAGAACAGAACAGAGAGGTTAATAGCCTTTCAAAACAGTCACTGTTTACTCAACAGCTTGTGAATAATCCCAGCAATGATTTGGTGTCCCGTCACTGCATAATTAGATCTTTGCACCTCCCTCCTTATCATTCTGTTCAGACACATTTCTGCCTCTAGGAGACTTGGCATGGGAACACAGGGATAAACCGCCTGGTTTTCTGGTATTAGAGAGAAAAGGGGATGTTGAACATTCATCTGAAATAACATTTTTGGAGGAGAACATTTACTCCTCTCTGTCATAACAAACGTTAAAGGCTTAAACAGAACCCAGCCCCTCTGCAAAACGTCCTCTAGAAACCTGAGGTGGAGGAGGAACCATATTTGTAGAGGATGCTGAGGCAATGAAACAATCTTCTGTCCAAAGATGGAGAGAAATTAGTAGAGATGATTTGTCTACTGAGTCCCAGAGGAAATCAATTATGGTCATTGATTATTTCGTCCTGCAGTAAATAGCATCTCTGTTTGTCTCGTATTACATTAGAGGGTATGAACATATGCATTTGGAATAGGGGACATTCAGTATCAAAGATAATCATCTGGAGTTTTTCGAGTCTAGCCCCCAGAAAATAATAGCACCCTCACTGACATTCCCATTTATTTTCTCCAACAGGTGATTGTTTGGGGAAACTACGGACACATGGATCGTAAATGCTTCATGGGTGTTGCCCGCATCTTATTGGAGGAGCTGGATTTGACGAGCATGGTAATTGGCTGGTACAAGCTTTTCCCCACCTCATCCATGGTGGACCCCACGATGGCCCCGTTGATCCAGCACTCTTCCCAGCTGTCCTTGGAGAGCACCGTGGGCCCATCCTTTGAGCGCTCTTAAGAACTTTGCTCACTGGCTCTTTTTGAATATACCCTTCTCTTTGTGTGCCCCCCAAAAGGAAGTTACCACCCCTTCAGAGGGACATATACTGACCATAGTGTACTGCTCTGAGATGGTGAGTGACACTGGCCTTGCACTGTTTTTCAGAAATCCTTTTTTTTAACAGCAGATAAAGGGGCACCAAAGGTCTAGAAAGACATTGAGAATAGGATTTCCTTGTTCCTACTCTTGACTTGGGCTTTTTTTTTTCATGGCCCCAGATGTATAATATGTCAATGAGTGTCATGGGAGCAAGCGAGAGGTTCGTAACTCTCCTCTGGGGAGGTTTCCATCCTGTGTTCTGGTGGCAGCCATTGGGTCTGAAGCTGAAGGTTGCAACACAGCAGGGAATGTGCAATATCATGGTTATACTGTAGCTGGTATAGGAGCAAACAAGCCAACACAAGTTCTAGACATCCACCACCAATGGAAGCAGATTCTCTCTATGATGAAATAATTTGTGAAGCCAGGCTGAGAATTCGGATTTGAATCGAGCTTAAGTGTTGTTTGAATAGACTTAAAGTTGTCTTTGAAGCTTGGCTAATATTCTAACAGTTTCAACTGTGCCAATTTACCAGCAAGTGTCTTGCCTTTGTGGCTTGTGCCATTGTTCACTGAAAAAGGGTAATTTTGGAACGAAAACATCTGATTACAGCTCGTGACAGGGGCACTGAAGCTTCAGTTAGAGCTGTCCTTTTAAAATTACAATCGTCATTATTACACTGTCAACGCAGGTAGTGATTAACACAACTCCACAAGTGAAGCAGTGAGGAAAGCTTGAAATATATTTTTTAATCATCAATAAAGGTCTGAGAGGAAATATGACAGATATATAATTACATCAAATGAATTTACTGAACATTGTAGAGCTGTAGGGTATTGAGAATAACATGTCTTTTATTTGGGCACTTTATTATAGATGTTTTTCTATGAATGTTAGTCTTGAGTGAGCCAAAGTGTGTTTTATTATTTATTTGATTCATGTTCAAAGGGCAGAGACGCAGAACTTGGTAGCACAGTAAGGTTGTAGCATTAGGTGGTAGCATCTGCATGACAGAATACCGTATTAGCTTATCACAAAATAATAATATTAAGCATGAGATATTACAAGGGAAAGTGAAACAACACAAGTTGGTTAAAACTAAAGTGTACATCGATTGAGAAGCTAAAAGACAAAACACACACAGCGCCAACAAACAGTTAAAAGGCACAGTGGTGATTCAACATGTAGAATGGTTGGGAAATAAACAGAAAATGATGGCCAATGTTCTGGTCAGAGGGGATAGGATGGACACCCACTGCTTTTAACCATTCACTGGCACAGTGTGTATTGTCCTTAACATGTAGCAGTTAAGTTCAGATGTATAAAGATAATTGCAATACTGACTTGTGTGCTACTGTGGAAAACAGAATAGCTGTATTAAATATTAAGAAACAAGTGTATTTGGTCCGTTTAAGTACTATACAGCACACATTGTTATCTTTTTTGACAACAGAAAACTTCCAATGCTGTGCAAAAACTCTAAACCACACCTGACAAATCAAACGTGTCAAAAACATATGTCAAATATTTCCAAATACTAAATTTAGCTTGGAGCTTGCACTTCTGGGACGATTCCATTGGTTTCATTGTACATGCAAACTAAATCAAGCACAGCTCAAGTATTTTAAAGTTTTTGACAAAAGTTTTTGACCTGGATCTAGCTAAAATAAGCATACATGTTGTGTATAATGTATTAAGTCAACATTGTAATGGAATGTAAAAATATATATATAGAGAGAGAGAGACAGCATTTTGAAAATGCTAAATTAACTTGAAGACTAAATTCAAGTCTTAAGATGAACATTAAATTGTAGACGCAGCATCAAAGTGGTAAAGATTAGAGCTCACTAGAGCAAGTAGCACTAGTACAGGAATATGCTACCAAGACTTACTGTTTTGAAACATTTATTTTTTCAATCAATATCTTCATTTTGTAAAGCAATAAGTAGCAGCACCCATCCAAAACAATCCACAACAAACCTCCATGTTTTTGTCCCTCGAAGTGTGATGTACAGTGAGGGAAAACAAGTATTTGATCCCCTGCTGATTTTGTAAGTTTGCCCACTGACAAAGAAATTATCAGTCTATAATTTTAATGGTAGGTTTATTTGAACAGTGAGAGACAGAATAACAACAACAAAAAATCCAGAAAAACGCATGTCAAAAATGTTATGAATTGATTTGCATTTTAATGAGGGAAATAAGTATTTGACCCCTCTGCAAAACATGACTTAGTACTTGGTGGAAAACCCTTGTTGGCAATCACAGAGGTCAGACGTTTCTTGTAGTTGGCCACCAGGTTAGCCCACATCTCAGGAGGGATTTTGTCCCACTCCTCTTTGCAGATCTTGTCCAAGTCATTAAGGTTTCGAGGATGACGTTTGGCAACTCAAACCATCAGCTCCCTCCACAGATTTCCTATGGGATTAAGGTCTGGAGACTCTCTAGGCCACTCCAGGACCTTAATGTGCTTCAGTTTGAGCCAATCCTTTGTTGCCTTGGCCGTGTGTTTTGGGTCATTGTCATGCTGGAATACCCATCTACGACCCATTTTCAATGCCCTGGCTGAGGGAAGGAGGTTCTCACCCAAGATTTGATAGTCCATCGTCCCTTTGATGCGGTGAAGATGTCCTGTCCCCTTAGCAGAAAAACACCCCCAAAGCATAATGTTTCCACCTCCATGTTTGACGGTGGGGATGGTGTTCTTGGGGTCATAGGCAGCATTCCTCCTCCTCCAAACACGGCGAGTTGAGTTGATGCCAAAGAGCTCCATTTTGGTCTCATCTGACCACAACACTTTCACCCAGTTCTTCTCTGAATCATTCAGATGTTCATTGGCAAACTTCAGACGGGCATGTATATGTGCTTTCTTGAGCAGGGGGACCTTGCGGGCGCTGCAGGATTTCAGTCCTTCACGGCGTAGTGTGTTACCAATTGTTTTCTTGGTGACTATGCTCCCAGCTGCCTTGAGATCATTGACAAGATCCTCCCGTGTAGTTCTGGGCTGATTCCTCACCGTTCTCATGATCACTGCAACTCCACGAGGTGAGATCTTGCATGGAGCCCCAGGCCGAGGGAGATTGACAGTTATTTTGTGTTTCTTCCATTTGCGAATAATCGCACCAACTGTTGTCACCTTCTCACCAAGCTGCTTGGCGATGGTCTTGTAGCCCATTCCAGCCTTGTGTAGGTCTACAATCTTGTCCCTGACATCCTTGGAGAGCTCTTTGGTCTTGGCCATGGTGGAGAGTTTGGAATCTGATTGATTGATTGCTTCTGTGGACAGGTGTTTTTATACAGGTAACAAGGTGAGATTAGGAGCACTCCCTTTAAGAGTGTGCTCCTAATCTCAGCTCGTTACCTGTAGAAAAGACACCTGGGAGCCAGAAATCTTTCTGATTGAGAGGGGGTCAAATACTTATTTCCCTCATTAAAATGCAAATCATTTATAACATTTTTGACATGCGTTTTTCTGTCTCTCACTGTTCAAATAAACATATCATTAAAATTATAGACTGATCATGTCTTTGTCAGTGGGCAAATGTACAAAATCAGCAGGGGATCAAATACTTTTTTCCCTCACTGTATAAGGCTAAAACTACAATTAAGCTAATACAACCTGTACATCACTTATGTGCAAACCAGTGTAGACAATAAGTTCAGCACCTGTGTAAAGTATGTATGTACTGTATGTACAGTGGGGGAAAAAAGTATTTAGTCAGCCACCAATTGTGCAAGTTCTCCCACTTAAAAAGATGAGGCCTGTAATTTTCATCATAGGTACACGTCAACTATGACAGACAAATTGAGGAGAAAAAAATCCAGAAAATCACATTGTAGGATTTTTAATGAATTTATTTGCAAATTATGGTGGAAAATAAGTATTTGGTCACCTACAAACAAGCAAGATTTCTGGCTCTCACAGACCTGTAACTTCTTCTTTAAGAGGCTCCTCTGTCCTCCACTCGTTACCTGTATTAATGGCACCTGTTTGAACTTGTTATCAGTATAAAAGACACCTGTCCACAACCTCAAACTTTCACACTCCAAACTCCACTATGGCCAAGACCAAAGAGCTGTCAAAGGACACCAGAAACAACATTTGTTGACCTGCACCAGGCTGGGAAGACTGAATCTGCAATAGGTAAGCAGCTTGGTTTGAAGAAATCAACTGTGGGAGCAATTATTAGGAAATGGAAGACATACAAGACCACTGATAATCTCCCTCGATCTGGGGCTCCACGCAAGATCTCACCCCGTGGGGTCAAAATGATCACAAGAACGGTGAGCAAAAATCCCAGAACCACACGGGGGGACCTAGTGAATGACCTGCAGAGAGCTGGGACCAAAGTAACAAAGCTTACCATCAGTAACACACTACGCCGCCAGGGACTCAAATCCTGCAGTGTGATACGTGTCCCCCTGCTTAATCCAGTACATGTCCAGGCCTGTCTGAAGCTTGCTAGAGTGCATTTGGATGATCCAGAAGAGGATTGGGAGAATGTCATATGGTCAGATGAAACCAAAATATAACTTTTTGGTAAAAACTCAACTCGTCGTGTTAGGAGGACAAAGAATGCTGAGTTGCATCCAAAGAATACCATACCTACTGTGAAGCATGGGGGTGGAAACATCATGCTTTGGGGCTGTTTTTCTGCAAAGGGACCAGGACGACTGATCCGTGTAAAGGAAAGAATGAATGGGGCCATGTATCGTGAGATTTTGAGTGAAAACCTCCTTCCATCAGCAAGGGCATTGAAGATGAAACGTGGCTGGGTCTTTCAGCATGACAATGATCCCAAACACACCGCCCGGGCAACGAAGGAGTGGCTTCGTAAGAAGCATTTCAAGGTCCTGGAGTGGCCTAGCCAGTCTCCAGATCTCAAACCCATAGAAAATCTTTGGAGGGAGTTGAAAG